ACCCCCAACCCCATCTCCCTTTCGTGCTTTTCAGTTCATCCTTACCTAAGGCTTCAACTATACTCCTAACTCCAAGCTCCATTTCCAGCTCTCACATCTCCCCTGAGCCCTGGTCCTGTATCTCTACCTGCCCTACGTGACAGTCCTGCCAGGGCAGCCTCCCAGCACATAAACGTAGTAACGCACGACTTCTTCACTCTCCCCATCTGGCCCCTTCTCTTGAACTCCCTATCTCAGTTCATGATGTAACCATTCGCTCAGTAATCTAAGTTAAAAAAAAAAAAAATTCATTTATAATCCACGGTGTCAAAAAAATATTATTTAAAAACACAAAAATGAGCACATTACACTCACAAGTCAAGCCTCCCGTTGCCTAACTATTTTCTGTCAGCAGGAGGCACGTTGCTTTTTCTTCTGCATGAGGGACCACACCCAATGGGCCTCCAGCCGGCTTCCAGTTCACCATCACCTCCCATATCCCTGGACTCCCTATGCTCGATCACACTGAACCCTTTATAGGGTGATTCTGCCACACAACTCGCCTTGCATGTGCGACTGCTTCTCCCTAGAGCAGCAATTTTCAACTGGTGTGCCACAAGAATTTTTAAAACATGCGATACCTGACCATTTAGTCAGGGGCACTGACCTCTTTTCCCTTAGATTTTCAAATTTTAAAAAAAGACAACAGTCAACACAACAACAGCTGTCTAATGTGAATGAATCAAAATTATACCTATTTTTTGTCAGATCGACAAAATATACATTTTTTGGCATGTTGCAGAATATTAGTCATTACTTTATATGTGCCACAAGATGAAAACGGTTGAAAATCGCTGGCCTACGAGACATCTGGCAATGGCTGGAGATATTTTTTGATTGCTCCACCTGGGGAAGAGGTGTTACTGGCATCCAGTGGGTAGAGGCCAGAGGTGCTGCTAAACATCCTAAAAGGCATGGATCAGCCCCATGTAACAAAAAGTATCTAGCCCTAAATGTCAATAGTGCTGAGATTGAGGATCACTGCCCTAGAATATTCTCCTTGATTTCTCTGCCTGGTGAACTCCAGCTCACCTCCAAGACTCAGATTAAATATCACCTCCTCTGTGAAGCCTTCCTCTATCAACCAGGTCCTGCACCTTTCGCACTTTCTCATACACATCTCTATTTTAGCACATCACACATTAGACTGAATTTTTGTTTTGTTTACAGTGTGTCTCTATTACTAGAATGGGAACTTTCCCAAATAGAGACTGCATTTTATTATCTTTTATTCCCAGGTCAGTGCCTGGCACATAGTAGGAACTCAATTGTGTGCTAGATGAATGCATTAAAGAATACACATCTACAGAGAAAATCTAAGTATTTCTGAGGGAAACAATTCAACTCCCTGACCCATTCTGAAATTAGTATTATAGTTCCTCAGTTCTAAGAAATATACACATACAAGCATATATATTTCTCACTAAATTTCCAAACCTGGTAATTAACATGGTTGCATCACAGTTTGAGAGTCGATATTTATAAACTATATTCGTTTTTAAAAAATTGATATGGGGGGGGGGAAGGAGGGAGGGACGGACCTATTGATATATGGATGGGCTGCCTCCTGCAGGTCTCCACCAGAGACCGAGCCCACAACCTGGGCATGCGCCCTGGCTGGGAACTGAGCCAGCAACCCTTCTGTGCACGGGGCGATGCCCAACCATCTGAGCCATACTGGCCAGGGCAAAACTATATTGGTTTTTATAGGAAAGATTAAGTGTTGTTCAAAATAAGTTTAAGCAAATGTCTCTAAATATGCTGCTAAAGTTAATAAGATACCAAGAAAATAATGGGACACTAAAATATGTATATATTTAAGATATTTATTTTAGAAAGAACTAAATAAATTACTGAAATGTATAATCTTGAGATTAGTGTTAAGGACTTTTGAAATAACTGAGACATAGTCTTTTAAAGTCATACTATACTAAAGTTAAGCAATTTACCTAACCAGGATTAAGTAACAGAAAATGAACAAAATGTTTTATTAACAAAAAGAAAAAAATGGAAAGCCAAACTTTCTGGTCAAAAAGAATGGAAGAAATGTATAAGTTTGGGCAAAATGCTACAGTATTTTAAATAATAAGGTAATGAAAACTCTGAGCATCCTCACGATATAGGAAATTTAGAAAACAAATGATAGAGAAAAATAAAATAATAATACAGTAAACTATTATACAGATTCTAGAAATATGAATAGTAATTTCTGTAACTGTACAAAAACTACCTTATTTCCTTAACTTATTTCTTGATATACCTAACAAAATATTACACTCAATGTTAAAACACCAAATACCTACTTTCAGATCAAAAGTCATTCGACAGCCTTTACAAAGTAACACTATATTTCAAAAGTATATGTAGTAAACATATGTCAGTTACTGTTATAGTCTTTGACAGCAAATAAATAAAATAAACACTATCATGAAGAGACAAGGCTCATCTTCATTCTAAGTTGTAAACAGAGAACAGAGCCCTGTCGTATATACAGGTAAAAGTTGTCACTGGATTTAAAAAATTAGCCATTAATGAGCTGTCGATTACAGAGAGCTAGAAACTGGATACTGTGCTGCTAGAGACCAGTAGCTTAAACATGTAAGAAAAGAATATGTCGTCCTCTCAGTGCTTTAGAAACAAGGGTCCCTGACCAAAGCAGTGATTTAATTTCACGGCTGCTCGGTACAGATAGCTGACATTACTAAATGCTACTCTAATATCAACTTGTTAAATGTGAATCCAGACTCAGCATATCAGAATACTAACCCAGACTAACTGGAGTCATGGGAAATATTTTGGGAGCTGTTTATTTATAAGTGAGTTACAATATACCACTATAATTAGATTAATATACAATTATTGATAAACACAGGATTATTTATAAAACCCCATTATTGTTGCCACTGCTATGTTTAGAAAAAACATTAGTATTTTCCTCCTAAAACAAGCACTTGATTTACCATTAATCATTTAGGTCAATTTCGATCTAGTATACGTTGAATTTAATGGTCATTATATTGTTTATAATGCTTTTATAAAGAGTTGTTTAACAAACATTAAAAAAAGGAACAATTTAAAGCTCTCCAGCAAATTACACACTTTTGAACTATTTTATAATCCAATAATCTACCCAAAAAAAATAGAATCTGCACAAAGCTAGGCATTTGGCTGTCACAAAAAAATATTTGCAAGCTTACCTAAGTTAAATAAAACCAATAAAAGTGCATATTTTTAGCCATGCAAAAAGCATTTAGTCACACTTTATTAAAAAACATTAAAAATACTATTTCCAAAAGCATAAACAACAGCAAACTATACTATTACCACAAAATCAACTATTTTAAGGATATTTCTATAAGTATTTCTAGGTTAATTATTCCTGGCAGATTAATTATTTCATGAAAAGTAAAAGAAATTCACAAGGTACATGTAAATTCAATTAGAAAACTATTAATATATTTCTTTATAGTATCACTTCATTGTTTTCTTTTAGGGGGCAAAACAGTTAAATAGATTATAATCTCCTAAAAGCTGGTTTTTAAACAGTTTTATAAATAGAATTAATAATTCTAAAAGATAGATTAGACTATGAAATCTGACCTTTTTCATTCTCAGTAAAATAGTTGCTTATATTAACATCTGGGCATTGGGTAACAATGATTATATTTACCAGGTTTCAAAAGAGAGCAGACTAACTAGCAATTACTGAATATTTTATTTACTTTAAGCTACTTATCCAGAAGTTTTAAAAAAATCTTTAATATAGATATTGAACATTATATAAACACAAATAAACTGTTTCCCCTCCTCTCAAAATTATTTTGTACTGCCACCTAGAATTGGTTTAGTCAGAATTTGTTTTTAAATTTCCTGGTATTAAAAATGTTTTAATATCCTGGCAAGACCTTCCAACTACAAAAAAATTTTTTAATCTATTTAAGGTCCAAACACTTAACATTCTTTGAAAGGCCGTATTACATAAAGAAATGTTTCAGTCAAGATTCATGAGAGTTAAATTATTAAGATAATAAAGCAAAATTATAAAAATAACAAATTAATAAGGTAACTAGAAAATCATGGGAAATACCTAGCAACTGAAACCAAATTCAAAAATATGAAATTTAAATTTTAATATTGTTGAAAGAGTAAATTACATTCTAGAAGGCAGTCTTAACTGGTAGCTAAAGAAAAATTGGGTGGAAACAAAATTCCTGTGGTTAAGGGTATATATACAAATGAAAATGCCATTTATTTTTCCTCTGCTTTAAGTATGAAACATAATAGTTTTAAACAATGATCTAATAAATACATGTATTTTAGAAAACATTTTTCTCTATGTTCATTTATCACATTGTTACATAGGCTTTTTTTATTGTTTAATATTTTAAATAAGCATTCTACATTTTACTTTATTTCACAAATGATTAAGGAGGGGAGAGTACTAAATGAGCATTTTTGAAAATCGGAATAAAAAATGAAGTTAGACATTAAAATACTATGCCACTTGAGGGGAGGGAAAAATAAATATACCAAGGTAAAGTGTTACAAAATAAATTATTATTTAAAGCTTGTTTTTATGCTACAGAAATGGTTTATGGCTTAAATCACTTTGGAAAGTTTTTTTAATGACTATTTTCTACATTGGTAAAATAAAGTGAAAAATTACTGGGGGTTCTTCAGATTTACAAATATAAAGTTCATTCCTACAAAAATATTTGCTAGCTAAGGACCAGGAAAGTATATAAAACTGCTAAGTCATAATAAATTTTAACCAACTATTTCATAAAGCTATTCTAATATAAATTAACATTTACCAAGACCAAAGGAAACTTACCTTACAAGAATGCTTCGAAGATTTAGATAGTTCATTTGTGAAATCTCTGTTGCTGTCTCTTGGTAAATGATCGACTTTACCTTCATTTCCAGATGCAAACTTTATGAGTAATTGAGATGGTCCCCCTTTAGAACAATTGTGCTTAAGGCTGGATAAACAGGAAACATTTGGATACGTTCCTCCTAATGAAATACTTCTTTGGAAAAGAGCATGGCTTTTGTGTATCTGTAAATTTGGTCTTTCCAACTGTCCATTGATATTTATTTGATAATCTACATTTTGGGAGGACGGTAAACATGCGGATGTCCTATGCATAAGCTTAATATACTCTGGGTCAGAATTAAGCTTAATTTCTGACATCTCTGGTTTACGATCACCATTCACTGCTTCACACTCGAATGTGGTGGTTTTCTGTTGGGTGAAATGCACCGAAACGCAAGAATATCCTTCAGATGACTTTTCCAAGGCAGCCTGATTTGGACTATTTCTTGCAAGAATCGTTTTCTTCTGCGACGAGCCCTTCCCGTGGAGGGGCCGTATGTCCCTCACTTCTCCGGGGGTGCAGATTGTTTTCGACAACCGAAGTCCATTGACAGCTGTGGAAAGAAACCCCTTAGCACCAGTACCATCTTCATGGTGGGCCATTTCACTGGGAGAAATAATAAACTGGTGTGAGGTTTGATAGGATCCTTTGCTTGGAAGAGTGCCCATACCTGTTGGAGAAGTTGGTGGGGTATTCGAAGGACTCCTAGGAAAAATGACTAAGGATGAACAACGTTTTAGTGGAATTTTCGAGCCCCGGCTCACTGGCAACTTCATAATCTCGAGTCCGTGCTCCAAGTCATCCTGGACAAAAGGAATCGTACTCGTACTTCTTGAAAACATGTCACCTGGAGAGGTATTCCTGTTTGGCACACTTCTGTTGGAGGCGCTGTCCGAAGATAAATTTCCACCGAAAAATGTATCATCCGCGGGCGGAAAAGCATAACCACTGCTATCGCTGATGATACTGTTGGTGTACGAACCTCCGCTTGTGATACTTGTGCATGACCCATAATCACTGCCGTTGCTGGTGTAAGACCCATTCTCACTGGTGGAAAAGTTACTGAGGCTGCCGCCGCACGTGGCAGGACTGCTCAGGAGGGTGTCGTCACTCAGGGCGTTCAGTTCGCGATCGACCGCGGCGCTGCCGTCCGCGCCGTCCTTCCAGACACAGGTAAGCGAGGCGTCGTCCCCATCAGCGGAGACGCTGCTGGGCGGGAGACACCTACCGGACCTTGTTGGCTGCAGGGAAATCTGCAGACAGCTGCTCTTTTTATTAGCATTTTCAGGTGAAGGAGCAGATGCTCTCTCCTGGGACCTAACGTTTTCCTTTATTAACGGAGCCAGTGCGGTCTGTCTGGGAGTCAGCTTCATTTGAACAACGTTCGATGTTGAAATCCGTGTCGGTCTTTTGAAGCACATGTGAGCATTGCTATCCAAACCATCTCCGGAGCTTTCCGACAAAGGGTAAGTATTGCTTCTCCTGGCTGCAAAGTGCAATCGTAAGCTTTGTGCCATTTGTTCTCATTTCCAAACATGTTAAGGGCTGAAAGTCATAACAAAGATCTCTGTCGGTAGACAGGCTAGAAGCAGCTGCGCTGCGTCGAAAGAAAAAATCATTTGTGGTGCCCGAAAGAGCTCTTAAGTAGTAGTCTTTATCCTAAGTAAAACATTAGATACCAGATATCACAGAGAGAAAAGTCCTGAGACTGACGCTTCCAAAATGTCTTGAATTGCTTGTAGTCAAAATGCCTTCACTTACAAAGCACTTGATTTCCAGCGACCTTTAAGCTGAGCTCAGCTGCAGCACACTGCCTCGAACACTGCCAACCTTGTTTCAATTATACCTTCTCCAATTTGCATGAATGAGTAACACAAGAACAACAATCTTCTAGCATTTCAAGTTGAAACAGTATTTTTTCACTCCAGCTCTATTAAATGAACATTTAACTACGTGAATCACAGCGCCTATACTTTCTCCAGCGGAGTTTGACCACTAATATTTTTACCCATAGGGATAGAATTACAGGAAGTTGGTAGGAATGAAACCCCATGTAATTGAGTATCAAATCGGGGATTGAATTTCCAAATAGTAGCCATACTAGGAATCTAGTCAAGTTAGTTAATGTAGAAAAGAATAGAGACTGTTACATTTTTTTCAGATAAGTCCGAACAGTTATACAATTTGGAAATACCCAAATTGTGGGGTGAATTAAAAATTCAGCATGAAATCAAATAGATAAATATTTTAGCTTCCAAAACACTTCTTACACAAAGTGAAAGCTTAAGAAGAGGAATACAAAACTTGCCTAGTAATACTATCGCAAAAATTGAGCATACGGCTGAGAGAAAAAAAGTTAAAGAGAAGCTGTCACCAAGCATTTTCTCCTATAATTTTGGGACCTATTGCAGCCAAGTAGTACAGTCTTTAAATGATGCCATTTATATTTTGACTATTAAAACTCTGCCAAGAAATAGCATAAGCAAACATTCCATTAAAAATATATGCAGATTAGACAGAAAAACTATACCCCAATATAGTTGGAGCACACAAGATATTTTATTCCACTGTCTCTGCAATTTGTTCACTTAGGAGAGTGTTTTGGTAAGTAAAGAAGTCTAAAAAGAATTTAACACATCAAATAAACATATCTCAATGCCAATTCTGTTCTGAAAAACTCTAAGAGCTCTTTGCTGGCCCCTACTGGTGCACTGAAACAATCCATTTAGCTGTTTGATATCTATAAAGAAATATACACCATGCTGCATATTTCTTTATATAAACAAAGTACATACTTGTTTACATTTTTTGAGTACTAGCACTGCCCTCGAGGTGGAATTACTACAGCTGATAAAGCTCTCATAGTTGAGAACAGTAGACTATTTGTCCTCTCAGGGGTTGTGATTTTGTACATATATTTTTTCTGCTTTGTATTTATTTAACCTTTACTTTATTTTCAGTTTACTAGGTAATAAAAGTTTAATATTTTAATTTCTGTCCCAAATGTCATAGACCAAGGTTGGTACCCTATTTGAAAGAAACAAATTTATTTTTAAATAATACTCTAGGGTATATTTAAATCCCTTACCTGAATTTTATAGCTGGAACTCCAGTAATAAATATATACTGGCTCATTCATAGGAAAGTAAAAAGTAAAATAGTTCAGTTGTTTACACCACATGGTACTACACCCAAGTTGTATTTTTCTAAGTGAGGTTTTTTTTTCTCTAAGTAAAAGCAAATATGTAAAATATATACTTGCACTTTGTTTAAAAAAGAAAACTCCGTAAGACGGACCTGTTCTCAATCACAATTTTCTAAACAGTTTTTAAAATCAATTAAGACAGGAAAAACAGAAATATGAAAATAATTAAGTTATATTTCTGACTAGAATGAGAAGTACTATGTTTTAGAATGTACACAATTGTAAATTTAGTAATAAAATTATTGTATTATTTTGGTTTTACATAATCTATCTCCTTCATAATTTTACAGACTTCAGTAGATATTCCCTTATAATACTTTTACTTTATAGAAGGAAAGTCCTGATCTTTTTACTTTGCCTTCAAATGACTTCAGCTTTCCTTCCTGAATTATATTAGGGGTCTGATAATTCAAAGACTGGATCACTTCTAATAGTGATCTAATCAATGAGAGCTAACTGCTCATGCCTGTGACTTAAAACTTCCAGTTCATAAGCAAAGCTCTCTGGTTGTTCATATAAAATAATGAACCCCAAGTATTTGGCAAGATAAATGTTTTCTCTTTGGTAAGCTTCACTATAAACATCAGTTTCATGCCCCCTAACTAGATTTTCAGCTTTGAAAAGTGTGAGGGCCATAACTAAACATTTCTCCTGAGCTCATGCTGGGCACAAAGTAAGCATGAAGTAACACCAGAGGGGAGGTTGGATGGATGGATGAATGGTCACCACCATTACTCTGACTGCCTAATGCTTTCTTTCAGGAGATAGATATAGATAGATATAGACATAGATATAGATATAGATATAGATATAGATATAGATATAGATATAGATATAGATATATAGATATACAGATATATAGGGATATATATAGATATATTTTTAAGATGATCCAGTTACTACTCTAAAGAAATATCAAGCTCTGGCCAGTGCAGCTCAGTGGATAGAGTGTGGGCCCAAGCACCGAAGGGTCACGGGTTCTCTTCCCAGTCAAGGACACATACCTGGGTTACAGGTTCAATCCCTAGCCCCGGTCAGGGTGTGTGCAGGAGGCAACCAATCAATGTGTCTCTCTCACATTGATGTTTCTCTCTCTCTCTCCCCCTCTCTCTCCCTTCCACACTCTGAAAAAATCAACGGAAAAAATATCCTCAGGTGAGAATTAACAAGAAAAAAATATATATCAAAAAGCACTACAGCTGGACAAGAAGGAATAATGCTTGAAAAATATGCAAAGAGGCCCTGGATGATGTGGTTCAGTTGGTTGAGTGTCGTCCCAGGCACTGAGAGGTTGCTGGTTAAAAATTTTTCAAAGAGGGCTTCAGCCAAGGAAAAGTAAAGTAAGAGAACCATATGCACTCCCTAGCACTCCAGTCTGGGTTTAATTCTATAGAGGCTGAACAGTTTGCACTGCTGACTCCGGTCTGAGACTGCACGGGACGGGTACTGCAATCATAGCGGTTATGTGTAGAACCCGGGGAGCCTGCAAAACATAGCCCTTTAACTAAACAGATGCCAAAAAAGGGGCATTAACCCAAGTAGAAAAGAGCTGGAGAGTGGTGGCAGCCCTCATCTGGGGGGAATCTATGCAAGTCCTATAGAATTCTATATTCTGAAATAAAACAACGTCTTAGGATCAGATTGAAGCTTGGGACCCCACATTCTGACCTGTTTGGTTACTGATTATCTATACAGAAATAATGTGTTTCTCTCCATGCTTCAGATAAGCCCAGGATAACCCTAGTCATCGACTAGAAATTTGAAGGCCAAAGTCCACTGTGACCATGAGATGTATGTGTCAGTGTTGCTGGGCTATTTTGCCCAGTTGTTTGGTCAAACACCAGTCTAAGTGTTGCTATGAAGCTATTTTTCAAGATGCGATTAACACTTAAATCAGTAGATTTTGAATAAAGCAGATTACCTTCCATAATGTGGTGGGCCTCATCCAATCAGTTAAAGACCTTAATCAGCAAAGACAGTTTTCCTGAGCAAGAAGCAATTCTGCCTCGACACAACACAGAAACCCTGCCTGAATTTCCAGCTCATGGGCCTGCCCCGCAGACTTCAGACTTAAGACTGTAACATCAGCTCTCACCTGAGTCTTCAGTCTGCTATCCCTGCCCCACAGATGTCAGACTTACCAGTTTCCACAACTACACGAACCAATTCCTTAAAATCTCCCCCATCCCTCTCTGCCCCCCTCCTATTTGTTACCTGCGGGAACTAGCAACAAATCAGAGGATGAGAATGACACATACCACCCTGTTCTAATTATTTCTTGCTCCATTTTCTCGTAAAGTGAGCTTCTTGAGAAAAGCTGTGTTTCTAAGACACAGCAGAATATCTAACAGTAGGCACCTAACAGCACACCTTAGTTAATACAAAAAATATAGTATCAGAGAGCCATAAATGCGTGAGTCCATGAATGTTAAATAACACTTTATATCTGAATCATGATGAAAAATTTTGAGTGCTTTGATGGCCACTGTCTAAATCAATCGTCACAATATATTTATCAGATAAAGAAGGCAAATATTGTTATCCCCATTTTTGTAAACATGAGAAAATATTTTCAGAAGGATTGAATGACTTGTCCAGGGGTACAAGCTCATGTGCCAAATCACAAGCGGGACTGCAACAGGACCTCTGACTCCTTGGTTTGGGGATCTATAAAATCCCGAGCAGTGCATTCCGTTTTTGCTTTCAGCTTAAAGGTTTTTAAATTTTTTATGTATCATGTTTATAACTCTAGAAATATCCCATTGTTAATATCAGAAGCAATGTTTTTTTTTTTCTTTTGACACATCATGATTCCCTGTGTAGTGCTCTATGCATAGTAAACGCTCAAAGAGGGTTAATGCACCGATCAGAGTATGAGAAATGTCAATTTGGCAATAAAGAAAGTGTCACACCATTCTGAAGTTACTGGCAAAAAAAAGCGTCAGGCAACCAGGGTGAAAAGCCCAAGGGCAAGCTATCCATCCTTGTGAACAACTTGCAAATAACTCACATAAAATACTTCGCCGCCGATGCACCCGAGAATCAGGGAGAAATTCACATCAGTGTCAATAACAACAGGAAAAATAACAGTGATACCACAACCCAGCCGTTCAGCCCCAAAATATGAATCTTAGAGATACACTCATACACATACAGCAGGAGACACAGCAAGAAAGTTTATCAGTTGGTATAAGATGGATAAATGCACACATAAGATATGATGGGCTTTTCAGATGAAGGAAAACTATGCATCAGTGAAAATGTACTAAGGATCAATCTCACAAATATAACATTAACCGAAAAGCATGTCACGGAGGAATATATAGAGTGATACTATTTTAATACATTTTAAAAATATGCAAAAGGAAACTACGTTATTTTACAGATACATATATACATGATAAAAATATCTAAAGCAACAAAGTGATAAACACAATATTCAAGACAATATACTAGTTGTAGAGGAAGAAACGAGATGCTATTGGAAAGGGATATGGGGGGGGGTGGTTGAAGATTCTGCTCATGTTCTAGTTCTTCTGTCATAAACTACACAGATATTTGTCTTATTATTTAAAATAAAAATTTATACTATATACACTCTGTGTATGTATATTTCATAATTTAAAAAACACCAATACTAAATGTCACCTGGTTCTATGTAGAAAGAAAACTGATCTGTAGAGGCAGAAGGGAAAAAACATTTGCTCTTCTATAGAAAAAGCAAAAATACTAACAGAAAACAAAAAGCTCTGCAACTGACCACACTGAGAAGCAAATCAGCAACGCCTGCCACTCAGCCTTGAACTATCAGCTGTCAGTCAGCGACGGCGTCTCCATTTGGCAGCAAGAAAGCACGACTGCATATTACAGTGCTAATTACTAATGTCGTTTGAAATACTTTCAGTTACTAGTATAGTTACAATTTCTTGAAGAAAAAAACCTATTGTGCAGTCTAATACTAAGAACAGATTCTTTAAGAAAAACCCAGTGTCTCTGTTAGCTAAAAAATGAATAAAACTGTTTAACTTCCTTTTGGGTGCTTCCGTGTAATCACAGATGAGCTTTGAACACGTAACCCTGTCCTTGCGCCTTCATGTTCAGGTCTTACAGGTGTAACTATAAATGTAAGGTTTCAAAGTAAGAGGGTTTGAAATAGGATCCCAAAGAGAGAAAATTACGAAGAGGAAAGGGCTTCAAGACAGTCTCTAGGGAATAAGAAATCAACACTATCATTAAAAAAAAATAAAACCAGGCGTAACTTTGCTTTTTGCCTCTGTAAGAGCTGGTGATCTTTTAGAGGACTTCATTTTCCTGATGTAAAGAGGACAGTTTCCCTTCGTAGAAGAGTGGGGATAAGACGGTGGATGGGATGTTGTAACTGGATGCAGGTAACCCCCCAAAATCCACTGGAGTGAGGAGGCACCACCCAAGCCAGGCAAACGCTGGACCACCAGCCAGGGTGCAAGGATGGCCGCGAGAGAAGGCAAGACAAAGGGGCTGGCTTTCCTGTCATCTCCTGTCGCCACAGGCTCTGAG